GCAGAAAATGTGGGTTCCAAGTTGCTGTTAGGGTTTAGGCTGTAGGGTTCAGGGTTACTATTTGCTGCTTAACAGACCCTAAACCAAAACTCAAGGTAATAGTCCCTATGTTGCCCTTATAAGGAAATATATATATATATATATGTATGTATATATCTGGGTTGCTGGATCTAGGGGATACCAAAGTGAGCGCCAGGAAGCTGCCAGAGAAGGGCCATGCAAGAAGCCATGGATGCTGGCTGAGAGTGCATGAGCATGCCAGCAGACCCTAAACCCTAAAACCTAAACCCTAAACCCTAAACCCTAAACCCTCAACCCCAAACCCTGCAATGTTTCATCTGATCCCGCAAAAAGCTGGGCTCTCCACGCGTTGCCGGCCCAGTCCCCACACAAGGCGATGTTGAGCACGATCTCCTGGGGCCGAGCCACGTTCACCTTGGGACGGTGGTGTTTAGGGTTTAGGGTTTAGGGTTTAGGGTTTGGGAATTAGGGCTTGTGGCACTTTGGAAGGGCTTAGGGTTGTTTGGGGAGGTTTAGGGTTTAGGGTTTAGGGTCTTAGGGTTTAGGGTTTAGGGTTTAGGGTTTAGGGTTTAGGGTTTAGGGTTTCGGGGCTTGAGGTGGTGTGAAGGGGGGTTTCAGGTCTTGGGGCTTTTGGGGGGTGTATTTAGCGTAGTCTTAACTGAAGGGTCTTAAGGATTTTGAGGTCTAGGGCCTTCGGGCTTCGGGGTTTTGACTTCGAAGTTCTGGGGCTAAGAGCTGAAACTTTCGCGGGGTAGAAGCCCTTCACCTAAAGCTTTCCATCTGTGGATCATCTCTAAACCCTAAACCCTAAATTTGAAACGATAAACCCTAAACCCTACAGGGCTTAGGGTCCTTCGCGGTGGCCTACTGGCCAACACGCACAGGTCTCTGGTCACATGTCTCAAAAACGCAGAAGGCACACGCATGGCGTTGCATGGATGACTATAACGCACCTCCTTAGGGTTTTGGGTTTTAGGAATCAGAAGGAACCTGGGAATAAACAGGTTCCCTTCTTGGTTGAAAGGGGCTTCTGCGGGAACCTCAACCCCCAAAAAGGCAATGAGGGCCTCCTCCTTACTACAGACCTAGGTTCCCTTTGTACAGTAGGACTTAGGTTCCCTTTGTAGGTTCTCTTCATAGGACTTAGGTTCCCTTGATAGGACTTAGGTTCCCTTTATAGAACTTAGGCTCCCTAGCTTGGGTTAAGGAATGTTTACTTTTTGGAGTTTTTCGGTTTGTTGAATATAAACTTTTCGTATGGCGGCATGACTTGCGCCAGATGTGCATTCTACTCATCTAGGCTGGGAGTGATGGAACTGGGGTTCAGGGCTTGTAGGGCTTAGGCCCCCTACTCTTGGGCCTGAAGACTGAAGTGATTCGGCACCTTCCCCTGATATGACCTGAGCCCTAAAGCCGGTGTTTTTTTTTTTTAAATCGTTTTGAGCCCTCAACCCCTAGCCCCCTAAATCACTGAACCCCTGAAACCATAAATGCCCCAACCCTGACACGCAAAAATCGCAAGCGCCAAGCTTACCAGCCCTAAACAAAATCAAAAAGGTTCCTAAGCCCCAAACCGAAATCCCCAAAACCAAGTAAACCTTAATATCACCTCAGTTAGCCCTGAATAAATATGTAATGAAACAGAAGCATCCCAAAGCCAAATACCCCACAGCTTCCCATACTGAGCCCTATCAAACCCCAATTCACGACTACTTGCTTAAGAACCTCAAAAGAATAAACAATTAAAATCGCCACATTCCCCTTGTAAGGAAGAATATGCTTTATTCTTTGGGGGGTTCATGGTCCCTGTGTAAGTATACTATAATAACCCCCCCAAAACCCTATTCTAATTACTAAGGCCTCTACAACCCTGAACCCTAAACCACCCTAAACCACCCTAAACCACCCTAAACCACCCTAAACCACCCTAAACCACCCTAAACCACCCTAAACCACCCTAAACCCTGTCGCCCGTGACCCAGCTCTGGGTTTGGGGCGCAGGTCGCGGGATCAAAAGGCATGTATGCGAAGCGCCAGCGCCCTGGCCACTTGTTCCTTGGAAGGTTAGGGTTTAGGGTTTAGGGTTTAGGGTTTAGGGTTTAGGGTTTAGGGTTTAGGGTTTAGGGTTTAGGGTTTAGGGTTTAGGGTTTAGGGTTTAGGGTTTAGGAAGCTTGTTGAACTTGGTTTGTGGTATAGGGGTTGCAGGAATGGGGACTTTGTAGGCTGAGGGGTAAGATCTAGCTAGGGCTTGGGGATTGTAGGGTTTCGGGCAAGAGCACTAAACGAACGCTGACGCAGCCCCAGACCCCCTGAATCCCTTGAAAAGGTGGAGTAGGGTTTAGGTTAGCTGAACCCCGCTGAACATTTAAAAGAAGAACTGGGCTCAGTTTAGGGTTCAGGGTACTGCGTGCCGCCCAAGGCCTGTAGCTCTTGTTAAAGACATTCAGAGTGCGGGGTTTAGGGTTCGGTTATTGGGGGCAATTAGGTACCTTATATCCAGTATATCGTACGCACTACGCCCTAAGCCCAAAAGCCAGGGCAACGAGTTGCGGAATTCTCTACTAAGAACTGGTAGGAAGCTGTTGAGGTTGAAATCGCATCGCATGGGGAGGGGTTGGAGTTTATGGTGTTGTTTCTACAAAAGGAGTACAAGAGGACTTGTGCAGCCTAACCCTAAACCCTAAACCCTAAACCCCAAACCCTAAGCCCCAAACCCTAAACCCGAAACCCTAAAAACCCCTAAACCCTAAAACCCCTAAACCCTAATCCACCCTAATCCACCTGAAACTCAAAAACTAAACCCAGAACGATAGGGGTGTCCATGTGCCTCATTGTTCTTGCATTTTCGCCCCAAAGTCCCCCTATAGGGGGTTTCCGAAATTAGGGGTACCTTTTTGGGGTTGTTATACTGGAATCCTACTATTTGGGGGTCTATTTAAGGTTACTTTATTTTCGTAAACCCTGATACAAGAGGTACTTTAAGGCCCCACGCATTCCCTATTCAGGTACATGGACCCTTAGAGCGAAGCAATGCCCCTCTTCAGTCTCGACCATACGGAGGGCCCCTAAACCGCCCTTGCCTTCCAGTGAAAAAAAAGAACTCAACCCGAAACCCGAAACCCCTAAACCCCTAAACCCCTAAACCCCTAAACCCCTAAACCCCTAAACCCCTAAACCCCTAAACCCCTAAACCCCTAAACCCCTAAACCCGTAAACCCCTAAACCCGTAAACCCGTAAACCCCTAAACCCCTAAACCCCTAAACCCCTAAACCCCTAAACCCCCCAAAACCCTAAACCCCGACTGTAAGCTTCCAAGCTCTGCCCTGCAAGGCCAGGTGACGGCTCGGGCTTATCATTCTTCAGGTCCTCCGGAATTTCGGCCTGGCGTTTTAGGGTTAAGGGTTAGGGTTTAGGGTTTAGGGTTTAGGGTTTAGGGTTTAGGGTTTAGGGTTTAGGGTTTAGGGTTTAGGGTTTAGGGTTTGGGGTTTGGGGTTTGGGGTTTGGGGTTTGGGGTTCAGGGTTTAGGGTTTAGGGTTTAGGGCTTGGAGTTTGGGGTTTGGGGTTTGGGGTTCAGGGTTCAGGGTCGTCGTGCGGACCTGCGAGGGTTTAGGGTTGTGGGTTTGAGGATTCTACAACCAGTCCACAGCATTGACACAGTACGTGCAAACAATCTTTTAGGCAGCGCTCCCATACACCTTCGGAACACAGATTGTAGCATGGAGACCAGGGTGCAATCCAGCGTACATGTTGTTGCATGTCGGGAGTCCAAAGTCCCGGGTTTAGATTCAAAGTTTAGGGTTTAGAGGGTTTGGGGTTTCGGGTTTTGGGTTAAGGGTTTACCCCGACATTGCCTCAGGGATGTGGTACACAATGATGCCGCTGGCATCCCACAGCACGGCCAAGACACCTGGGTTCTTGGCGTACCTGGGCGCATGTCGGCCCTTGTTCCAAACCCTTAACCTAAACCCCCAAACCTACGGCAGGGGGCGGGTTGCGGGTGTAGGGCTTATTTGAAGGCCTTTGAACAAGCCCATTTAGGAGTTTAGGAGTTAGGGTTCAGGCTGCGGCTGTGGGTTTCTAAGATTTGCTTTTGTCGGGTTTGGGCTTAGGGTTTTAAAATCTAAGGCTACTGTGCTACTACTATTCCTGTATTCTGCCTGTATCTATGTACACACGAGGCAGGATGTGTCTCGCTCTGGCTCCTGTTTTGCCGGCACAGCCTCGCTTGGACAGCGCATGATTCCAAGGGATGCGGACGCCAAGCCTTCAAAGCGCTCTGACCCTTAAATTCCCAACCGACAAACCCACAACCCTTCAACCCTGAAACCTTCAACTCTAAACCCTAAACCCTATAAACCCGAAATCCTGAAACCCTAAGAAGCCTCACCCGAGTAGCCCGATGCCAAATCACCCCCAAAGGAAAGCGGGTCAGCGCGTGCATCCCTCGGAATAGAAGGTCACGTTAACAGCCTAGCTCCGCTGGCCACCACAGCTGCTTAGGGTTTAGGGGTTTGGGGTTTGGGGTTTTGGGTTTGGGGTTTGGGGTTTGGGGTTTAGGGTTTAGGGTTTAGGAGGGTTGAGGTCTGTTTTGGGAGCTTTACCCCGCTGCGGTGGCAGAGCAGCAGCGAAGCAGCCGAGGCAGCTCTTTGGCCCCCTAACACCTTAAACCCTAAACCCTACACCCTGAACCCTGAACCCTGAGCCTTGATGTCGTGCTCGTCTGTGGGTTTAGGGCTTGGGGTGTAGGGTTTAGGGTACAGGGTTTAGGGTTCAGAGTTGAGGGTTTAGGGTTCAGAGTTTAGGGCCGGGGGTACCTTTAAAGAAAGGAACGATACGACGGTCCCACCCGAAGCCCTAAACCCTAAAGCCCATACCCAGTAGTATCGGTACCTTGCAAAACGTATTGAGGGCTGTTAGTAGCAGGGGCGAACATCGCAATAAGCACCCTATACCCCTGAGCCCCATATCCGGCGACTTCCTAGGCAGGTGCTGCTGCAGCAGGCGCCTCAGACGCCGCCGCAGGGGCAGCCTGCTGGAGGCGAAGCACTAAACCGAAAACCGAAAACCCTAAACCCGAAACCCTCGAAGCCCCAAAGCCGCAAGCCCTGAAGTATAAAGGGTATGGGGGCTTGGGACTTCGGTCTGAGGCAGCCCGAACTTATTGGATGATGACCCCAAACTCCCCCCCCCCCCCCCAAAAAAAAAAAAAAAAAAAAAAAAACAGAAGAAAAAAAAAACATTTGGGGCTTAGGGTTTTTAGGGTTTAGGGCTTAGGGTTCAGGGCTGAGGGTTTGGGAACCCCACAGCCCTGAACCCCTAAACCCAAAAACGTCACCCAAACCCCAAACCCCAAACCCCAGACCCCAAACCCCAGACCCCAAACCCCAAACCCCAAACCCCAGACCCCAAACCCCAACCCCAAACCCCAGACCCCAGACCCCAGACCCCAAACCCCAAACCCTAAACACGCGCCTTGGGCTTGGCTTTAACCTTGGCCACCGGAGCAGCCTCGGCTCTGTGCCAGAGGTTTAGGATTCCAGGGCTTGCGGGCGGGGGGGGGGGGGGGGGGTGGGGGAGCATTTTACGGTTCAGGGGGTCTGGGGTTTGGGGGGGACATGGCAAAACGCGCGGGGGAGAGGCCTTGAGGGGCCCGGCTTTCAGAGACTTGCGAGGTGCGAGGAGGCCCTAGAGAGGCCATCTTCTGGGAGCGCAGAGACCCGGGAGCTACCTTCCATCCATAACTGCACCCTAAAGCCTAACCCTGTAAGCCACACTGTAAGCCCTGAACCCTAAATCCCAAACCCTCAACAGCTCCCCGCCGAAATCCAGGAAAGGGGGGCATCATGAGAAACTGCAGCCGCGTAGCCGGTGGAGCGGCTGCTTCCTCCTCTTCCTTCTTGCCCCTGGAGGGTTTTAGGGCTTAGGGTATAGGGGAGTCTTAACTCAGGGTTTCCGGTTGCCGGGAAACCAAGGTAGGGTTTAGGGTTTGGGTTCAGGGTTTGGGGTTTAGGATTTACGGTTGGAACACACTGGAGACATGATCAGGTTCAAGATCGTGACTGCTTTGGACAGTTTCAGCCGAACGTACTTGTATGCAGTAGCAGAATCTGGCTCAAAACTCTGGGCCTCGACACTCCAAACCCCTACGTAGCTTCGACGTTTAGGAAAGCAGATCTGAACCCTAAAGCACCCTAAGCCACGAACCCCAAACACCGGTAAACCCTAAACCCTAAACCGTAAACCCTAAACCCTAAACCCTAAACCCTAAACCCTAAACCCTAAACCCTAAACCCTAAACCCTAAACCCTAAACCCTAAACCCTAAACCTTACAAACCCTAAACCTTACAAACCCTAAACCCTAAACCCTAAACTCTAAACCCTAAACCCTAAACCTTGAAAACGTGCCGAGCTCACACGATCCTCTGCGCGAGCATGCTGGGAAGGTAAGAGATGCCCACACCTACAGACACCTCAGCCCCGGAGTGCGCGTTTCGGGGTTTATAGGGTTTAGGCGTGTAGGGTGTAGGGTGTAGGGTGTAGGGTTTAGGGTTTAGGGTTTAGGAGTGTAGGGTTTAGGGTTTAGGGTTAAGGAGTGCAGGGTTTAGGGTTTAGGAGTGTAGGGTTTAGGGTTTAGGGTTTACGGTTTAGCATTTAGCGTTGGGGGTTTACCGTTTCGGGTTTTGGGTTTAGAATTGTAGGGTTTGGCGGTGCAGGGAAGACGGTTAAGGCTGTAGGGGTACCTTAAGAACCCAACCAAGCCCAACCTTCCAACTGCGCTTCGTATTGGAAGGCTATGCCACGCGGATGTGTCGTGCAACCCAGATCTGTCGGTCTGTAACCATATAACAGTAAGGTTACCCTTTTTGGGGTTGGTTGCTTTATAAGAGAACCTTGAACCAAAAAGAAAAGGAAAAGGGTACCAAGTATCTGGTTGTAACAGCATGTGCGAACGTGGAAGCGAGCTCGGAGCCCGAGTGAGTAAAGACCCAACTCCAGGCTCCACGAAGGGTTTAGGGTTTAGGGTTTAGGGTTTAGGGTTTAGGGTTTAGGGTTTAGGGTTTAGGGTGGTGTAGCCGAAATGTCGGGCAAACGCGTAGGCCACACCTGCGTGCAGACAACGTGCTCGAGAAGCAAGCCGCAAGGAAAGTAACGAACAGCTGAACTGGCCGCGCAAACCAAATCACCACAAACAGAGCAGCAAACATCCGCAAGCCATTTTTGCAGCCATTCGGGTGGATGGGTCCTTAGAGTCAAACCCCTTATCGGATTCTTATAAAAAGCGGACTTGGGATTCTTAAGGTAATCTAGATCCCTAAACCCTAAGCCCTAAAACGCTAAAACGCTAAAACCCTAAAATTACACTAAAACCCTAACACCCTAACACCCTAACACCCTAACACCCTAACACCCTAACACCCTAACACCCTAACACCCTAAAACCCTAAAACCCTAAAACCCTAAAACCCTAAAACCCTAA